AGAGGCTCTTTCGAAAGTATCTTTCGAAAGAGCCTCTTTCGAAAGAGGCTTGCAGTCTAGACATAGCCTAGGTGACAATGAAGCCATTCCATGGAATCCCAGACTTGGAAGAGACCTCAGGGGGCCATCAAGTCCCACTCCGTGCCCAAGGCAGGACCCACCCCAACTAAAAAGAAAAGAAAGGGGCATTTTAACTCCTCCCTTCCTCACTGGGCTGGAATTCCAAACGCTATAAAAGCCAAACATGGGCGTAAAGCCGTTGGGTTATGGAGAGCCATTGGGTAGTGATCAACGGCTTGATGTCAGGTTGGCAGTCGGTTTCTAGCGGAGCGTCCCAAGGATCCATTCTAGGACCAGTTTTGTTCAACATCTTCATTAATGACCTGGATGAGGACTGCACCCTCAGCAAGTTCGCAGATGACACTAAGCTAGGGGGAGAGGTAGATACACTGGAGGGCAGGGATAGGGTCCAGAGTGACCTAGACAGATTGGAGGATTGGGCCACAAGAAACCTGGTGAATATCAACAAGGGCAAGTGTAGAGTCCTGCACTTGGGACGGAAGAATCCCAAGCATTGTTACAGGCTGGGAACCAACCAGCTAAGTAGTAGTTCTGCAGAAAAGGACCTGGGGGTTACAGTGGATGAGAAGCTGGATATGAGTCAACAGGGCACCCTTGTAGCCAAGAAGGCTAACGGCATATTAGGTTGCATTAGGAGGGGCATTGCCAGCAGATCTAGAGAAGTGATTATTCCCCTTTATTCAGCACTGGTGAGGCCACATCTGGAGTATTGTGTCCAGTTCTGGGCCCCCCACTACAGAAACGATGTGGACTCATTGGAGAGGGTCCAGCGGAAGGCAACCAAAATGATTAGGTGCCACAGGACTCCTCGCTGCTTTTGCAAAATGATGAGGGGGCTGCAGCACATGACCTCTGAGGAGAAAGAGAGGGATTTGGGTTTGTTTAGTCTGCAGAAGAGAAGAGCGAGGGGGGATTTGATAGCAGCCTGCAACTTCCTGAAGGGAGGTTCCAGAGAGGATGGAGAGAGGCAATGGATGGCAGAACAAGGAGCAATGGTCTCAAGTTGCGGTGGGAGAGGTCCAGGTTGGATATTAGGAAAAACTATTTCCCTAGGCGGGTGGTTAAGCACTGGGATGGGTTCCCTAGGGAGATTGTGGAATCTCCATCTCGGGAGCAATGTCAACACTGCCCCCGTTTCGTGCCCAAAATATGCAAATGTGGCAAAGCATGGACTATTGCGTCACTTCATTTGCATAATTAATGAGGCTCCTTTTTGCGCAAAAGCCTCCTGGGCAAAAACGGAGCCTCATTAATTATGTGAACGAGGCGTGGCGCTAGTTCATGCTTTGCCTCATTTGCATATTTTTGGCCCAAAATGGGGGCAGTGCAGACAGAGCCTAGAGGTTTTTAAATCCCAGCTTGACAAAGCCCTGGCTGGGATGGGTCCTGCTTTGGGCAGAGGGCTGGACTCAGGGACTCCTGAGGTCTCTGCCAGCCCTGGGATCCTATAGCAAGGGCTTCTGGAGAGACTTGAACTCACAACCTCAGCAGAGCATTGAGCACCAACCAGTTGCACCCCCAGAGCAGCCTTTGGTTTCAGGGACCTTTGCCTCAGTCTGCACAGGAGTCTGACCAGAGCTGTTAGCCAGGTTCTCAGCTTGGGCGCATCTTGGGCCCAAAGAAGCTTCTCTCCTCTCTTGATGGTTCCACATCTTGGGGAGTTTGCAGATGCAGACCGTGGCTCCCTATTATCTGGCCTGGCTCCCCACTGGGAGAGCTTCCTCTGGGCTCGGCTCTGCCCCCGCTATATTCCTGGGGCTTGGTTTTGATAGATAAAGAAACGCTTGGGTTGGTCCTGGCTAATTTGCAGAACTCTCCCCTCAGTGTTCCCTGACAGCCAAGGGCAGCAGGAGGGTGTGAATTAATAGCCCCCATGGGAGGGAGATGATGGCAGGGCACTTTCCCAGCAAGGTCCTGGAGGGCAGCACTCAGTTACCCTCCGAGAGGGAGATGGTGGCAGGGCACTTTCCCAGCAAAGTCCTGGAGGGCAGCACTCAGTTACCCTCCTCGGGTCACCGTGTTGCCAGGCCTGGCGGCTCCCTAAACCCTTCAGAAAGGGGTGAGAGATGGTGAGTGTGTCTGTCAGGGATGGAGAGTTACGTGCAGTAAGTCCTGGCACGGTTCAGAGGGTCTCTGTCTGCAGATCCAGTTTCCAGTCAATGGCTGGTTTTAGTAGGGAATTAGCCAGTTTCATAAATCAAACCAAACACACCCTATCCATGCAAAATAAACAGAGAGGTAGCCATGTTAGTCTGATCTTGGTAAAAAAAAAAAAAAAGCAGTCATATAGCACTTTAATGATTAACAAGATAGTTTATTACAGGGGTGGCCAACCCATTATAGGCAAAGAGCCAGAATAGTTGTGAATATAGCAGAAAGAGCCGGGGGGAAAAGTTGTCAAGCCAAAAAAAAAACCCCACCCCAAGTGGGTGTTGCAGGGGATTCCTACCTGAGACCAGCTGGTGAATGTGGAAATCCAAAAAGAAAATGATAAATCCGGGCAGAGAGGCAGTGGCTATGCAGCGGCAGCGGAATGAGGAAACCTTCATCTTCATCGTCACTTCAATTGCAAAACGGGAGCGGGGGAAGGAGAAAAAAAAGGCAGGTGAATATTACACTTATCGTGGCAAGCAAACTGGGGGCTATTAAGAGACAGAAGATTATAAACAGGACATATTAGATGTTTAAAGGGTCTCGCAGGCTCAATTTGACATCCTAGAGCAACAAAAGCTGGTGCACAATTAAGACAGATTAGACTGCAAGCCTCTTTCGAAAAAGAGAGTCTAGACTACAACCAGCACTTTCGAAAAAGCAAGCTGCAGCCCCCCACTACATCACAGGGGTCTCTTGCCCTAAGAACTGGCAGGAGGGACGTGAGGTGTCCTGCGTGGGCAGGGGAAAGTACAAACTTAGAGCATGTGCTGCATACAAGTGTGAAGCAGCTGCTAAATGTCATGCGCATGTTATTGCGTCAGGGGAGCAGGCGACGGCTGACCTACACTGAAAAGTCAGGTGGACATAGCCACATCGGGTCGGGTAGCATTCCAGGTGTAGACTCTCTAGACCTCTGTCTATGCTCCGTGGTTATGCTGGCATAGCTCCAGCAACATGGTGGCATCGGATGTAGACGTTGCCTGTGTTTGAGCCCTGGTCTGCACTACAGGCTTGTGTTGGTTTTCCTTGCCCCTGAACAGCAGAGTTCCTGCAGCTCAGCTCCCAGCGCAGGCAGGGCTAGGACGATGTGAGGGCTTCTTCAGACAACATCTGGGGCAGGTAGAGCAGCTCGCCCTTTGACGTAGGCAGCCTCTTCACTAACCACTACAGTGACACAGACACTAGGGCTGTGTCTACACTGGGCCACTTATTCCGGAAAAGCAGTCGCTTTTCCGGAATAACTTGCCAGCTGTCTACACTGGCCACTTGCTTTTCCGGAAAAGCACTGACGATCTACTGTAAAATTGTCAGTGTTTTTCCGGAAAAACTATGCTGCTCCCATTCGGGCAAAAGTCCTTTTCCGGAAAACTGTTCCGGAAAAGGGCCAGTGTAGACGGCCCAGATTTCTTTTCCGCAAAAAAGCCCCGATCATGAAAATGGCGATCGGGGCTTTTTTGCGGAAAAGCCCGTCTACATTGGCACGGACACTTTTCCACAAAAAGTGCTTTTCCGGAAAAGCATCCTACCAATGTAGACGCGCTTTTTCCAAAAATGCTTATAACGGAAAAGTTTTCCGTTTTAAGCATTTCCGGAAAAGGGTGCCAGTGTAGACGTAGCCTGGGAGTGAATGCAGGGAGTGAAAAGACAGCATGAGGCCCAGTCCACACTTAGATAGACCTACGTTTCCATGGCATATGGTCAAATTAAGATATGCAACTACAGCCAGAGCTGGCCTTAGGGGCTGCCATTTTCAAGGGGCCACCGACAGAGCCGGTCTTAGGGGTGGGCCATGACCGCATTTTGGCCTGACCTCCTGAATACTCCCCTTCTCCCTGACCACCCTTTTTTGTTTGTTTGTTTGCTCAACAAATTTTTGTCTGGTATTTTTTTGAAACCATCTGGCAACACTACGGGTGAGCAATTGTTAGGACCGGCCCTGATGACAGCTATGTTAATTGCGTAGCTGAAGTCGAAGTAGCTTAACTCGACTTTTGGTGCTGGCCTCACTGCAGGAAGTCGAAAGGAGAACACTCTCCCTTCGACGTCCCTTACTTCCTGTGGATGTGGGATGACCGGCATCGACCGGACTGCCCCTCTCCCTTCGAATTAGTGTTCCTTCACTAGACCCGCTAATTCGAACCTGGGAAGCAGGGCTGGCCCACAACATTTTGGCACCTGAGGCCAAATGACGCCCCCAAACCACCTTTTCTCCTGCTTGCCTGTTACGTCTCTTGTGCCCTCCTTCCTCCAGCACAGCACTCCACCATCTCTGTGCCTCTGGAGCAGAGAGATTACACACGCACCAGCAGCAGACACAATTTTCTACACTCTGGGTCCTAGTGGCGCCCCCCACCGTCTGGCACCTGAGGCGGCCAGCCCTGCTGGGCAGATCCAACACCAGTGTAGCCGTACCCTCACAGGGCTACCCTTCCAGTGCCACTCTGTGGTGCTTCCATGTAGATGCTCCCTGCATAGACAGAAGGTCCCACCTTGGGTGCTGGTGACCCTCCTTGCCCTGCGTTGGTAGCTGAGTCAATGGGAAATTATTCTGTGGCCCTTATGCTGTCTCCACTCGGGGGTGAGGTCCGTCTGTCTCCCAGGGAAGGGAGCTTTCACATCCTGGACCTCGGGCGTTACGCCCCAGCTCTACGTTAACTGAGCTTTCCGCTGTTTCACCAGAGCCATCCCGCCCATAGGGCGAGTCTGGGAGGCTGCCAAAGGCCTGGTGCTTTGGGGAGCTCTGCAGTGGCTGCCTCAACCGTCCTATGGATAGGAGGGACCCGGGGAATTGTGGGGGCCTGGCGCGAGGCGGCAGCAGAGGCTGAGGCAGCCATGGTGGGGGGCGGCGGGCTGGGGGGAGGCCGGCGGGACAGGGCGGAGCAGCCTGCTGGGCCGCTCTGGCTCTCATCACCGTGATTAATGCAGGCGGGGGAGCCTGCTGGTCATGTTACTTGGGGGCAGGGGCCAAGGAGGAGTGGGGCAGGCCTGGGGAAGGAGTGGAGGAGGAATGGGGTGGAAAAGAGGCAGGGCAGGAGTGGGGCCTGCGACAGGCAGGGGGGCTGCTCTGGGCCCCATGCCTAGGGCATTTAGGGTGGGGAGAGGCTCTGCTCCCCACCAGCTCTGTGATTCTTGGGGTGAGTACCCAGTCCTCTCAGACGTGCTCTGATTAGTGGGTGTGGGTGTCTGCGTGTGTTGCCAAGGTGGGAAGAACCCCATCCTGAGGAACCTAGTTCCTGCAGGAGAGCTCCAGTGGGAGGGGGAATTGGCAGCAGGGAGAATTCAGCTCCATATGAGAGCCCAAGTAAGCACCAACAGCACACTGATAGAAATGTTAACCTTCCCCCAGTCCCATAAGGGTAACCATGATAAATGAGCATACCCCAGAGTATTGGGCAAATCTGGTAACAGCTCACACAGACTCTGCGCCTCCTAGGGATGGTCCTGCATTTAATTAGCAAGTTGTTAGTGGGCTTCAGGGGTTACTCAGGCAACTGTAGACAGCCAATAGCCCGGTTGAATGCCACAAGTCGAGTCAAACATGAAGGGTGCAGGGAAGGTGGGGAGGGGCAGGGCAGGGTGAATCCCAGATGTATGGATAAATTCCTGTTCCTGGGCTGGGTTTCTATAGACCAGTGTTTCTCAACCAGTGGTACGAGGACCCTTTGGGACACTCGAGAGAAGTCTGGGGGGTACGTCAACACAACTGAAATTTGGAGAAAACTGAATTTTTGTTTTAAGTTTTACAGCGCTTTATTCTTTCTTGTACTTTTTACACCCCAAAATTTCATCGTGTGGAGAAATCCCTGTAATATTATATTTTGTATTAAGATCTTGTCCTTTTAGATCTATCTTTGTTAAGTGTTCTTATAGACTCTCTGTAACATTTCTCCTATAGCTTTGTATTAAGATATATAGATCTTGTAAGAAAAAAATGTCTTTTGAGCTTTTCTCTTTCCTTGATTGTCCTGTTGAAATGAATGAGGGGTGAATGGAGAATGAAAGGGGAGCACCTCTAGCAGCAGTTGCAAGGGTGGAGAAGGTCTGGGAGCCAGATCTAAGACAATAGGGCTACGTCTACACTGGCCCCTTTTCCGAAAGGGGCATGTTAATTTCACAGCCAGTGTAGACGCTCTTTTCCGGCTTTTCTAAAAGCCGGAAAAAAGCGGCGGACATTTTTATTTAAATGCCGCGGGGGATATTTAAATCCTCCGCGGATTTCCCTATTACGACCTGTGAAATTAACATGCCCCTTTCGGAAAAGGGGCCAGTGTAGACGAGCCCTAGCTTTAAAGTGAGCTCATTAAGAAGATTGGACACACAGACTCCTTGGAAGTCAAGCAGCAAGTGCCTGCCCTTGAAAGAGCTCTCTCTGAAGCATTAAGAAAGGCGAGGTGATGACTAATTGGCTGCATGAGAGGGATAAATAGGAGGCATCTTGCAGAGGGACCCCGGGTTTTCGTCTTGTCAACATGGGCGCATCGATCCGGATCGACAGAAGCCCGGCTCCACTCCCTCCCCCATCTAACTCACCTGGCCAGTGCAGTTAGGGGGAGCAACTTTTGGTAACAACAAGATGAAGTGTGCCTGTGTGTGATGTATCATATGCATATGATAAGTATTGATTATTCTATGTATGATCAATAAATGTGGCATGTTGCCTTATCCCTCTGAAAAAGATCCCGAGTACTTCTTTTAAGTACTACAATCTCCCGCCCGGCTACGATTAAGTTGTTTAAACAAACGTGCTGCAATGGTAGAAAAAAAAATTGTGTGTCTGAAAACTGTCGGTACGGGGGGTGCTTATAAATTTTTTTAAAGGGGTACTTTATAAAAAAAAGGTCGAGAAACACTGCTCTAGAAGCTGTGGACCAAACCCGGCCCCAGCATTCTGCCAATCGGGTGCTGCTGTCAGGGTTCAGCTCTGCCCTTACCCCGCCCTGCAGGTCACTGGGCAGCAGGTTGGCGCTTCCCAGCGCGAAGCGTCCCGTGGAAGCAATATGAGACCGGTTCCAGCCCCAGCAGTGAGTGTCCCCATCCCCCACCCCCACATTGCGGGGAGCCCGGGCTCTGCATCAGAGTGTGCCTGTTCTCAATTCCCTTCGCTCAGTCCTGTGGGGAATGGCCCCTGTTCCCATCCCCACTGTCCCTCCTCTCCCATCCGCCTCATCCCCCCCCATGGCAGGAACCCCGCCCTCTCCTTATAACTGCACCTGCCCTTGCTGCACCCACCCCGCCGGGTTCCCCTCACATCTCCCACCGCCGGTCACCCACCAGGGAGCGTCTTCATGTCTGAAAAGAACCACAGTGCTGCCCTCAGACCCCGCCCTGCCAAGGGCTCCTAGGCTGGGTGCTAACTGCATTTCCCCCCCAAGGGCTAGTGGCTGCCCCACACTCTGGGGGGGAGGGGAAGGGGACACTCCAGTTTGTCTGAGCCCCTGGTGTGATGGCCCCAGCTCGTAACTTCCCTTTCTCCGGGGAGAAGGTCGCAGTCACTGCCCCATGATGTGGCCGAACCGCTTGGATTTAACCCTTGCTCAGCATGTAACAGCTGTTGCGGCGTGGGCAGGATCCTTGTTTCACGAATAGGAACAGACCCGGGAACAGGTTCTGCTTCCCAAAGCAGCGGTTTCCACCGCCGGCATCTTTACAGGCTCCATTTTTTTTTTTTTTTGCCCTTCTTGCCACGCTGCCCCGGAGCTTACTCCTCATAGAAACAACTTAAAAACAACCAATGGCCTTGAAACGTTCATAGAATCACAGAGCTGGAAGAGACCTCAGGAGTCATCAAGTCCAGCCCCCTGCTCTAGGCAGGACCAATCCCAACTAAATCAACCCGGCCAGGGCTTTGTCAAGCCGGATGAACTTTGTCACGTTCCTCCAGGGAAGGCTGGGCAGGGCTGAACAATGCCGTGAGCCCTAGGCCAGACACCTGGCAATGAATTAACCTGGGATTAAAATCCAAAGCTCTCACCTGTTAAAGCGGACAGCAGTCCCCTGCCTTGGGCTCCGGCGAAGTGTCACTGGCAGCCTGAGCTCTGCCATACACCCGGCTGACGGAGCTTTGCTTGGCCCTCTTCACAGGACACTTTGTGGGGCTCCCCACACAGCCCCATCCCCTCCAGCTCCCTTCCTTGCCTGCAAACTCAGCTGCCGGGCTAGTTCTAGGCCCTTTGCCAGCTGCCTGGTGGGCCGGAGCAGATTTTCTGCACCAAGGCCAAAGCCTTTTTCCAGTCTGTCTCAGCCCTGGCTGCTGCAGACTCGGCAGAAGTTGTGTCCACAGTCCATGGTCACTGGGTCTGTGAACTACTCCAGACAGACGGGGCAACTTGCTTCATCCGAGAGGTTTATCCCCGGGGTTCTTTGCAGCCCGGGTTCCCGGGGGACAGTGTAACAGGTTTTAGTTTTACTTTCCTGAGCTGTGAAATTTGTCCCGCCTGCAGCAGTGAGCGCCTGGGTGTGTTTCCCTTCCTGGAAACTGACTCTGCAGTTTGCTAAGGAAGAACAGTCCCCCTGGCAACCTGCCAGTCCTGGAGGCTTTTGTGAAAAAAAAAAACCCCCAAACAAACATTCCAGTAAAGCTGTAATCGGCAGTCAGCCCCTGGGCTGGGCCCCTGGGGCTTGACTTGGATATCAGCGCCCAGCTGGGAGGAGGCCCTTGCAGGGTGAGGGTCTGTGGCTGGTCTGGTGCCTCGCAACTGTTCTGGGCCCTTTCAGGAATCAGGCTTGTGTTGCATAAAGTTTCACCTCGCTTGAAAACAGCTTCCTTCCAAAATCATACATAGAAAAGCATCACAGCTGGAGTGGCTGACTTTCCCCTTTTACCATATTCTTATAAAAGAAACCAATGGGGCTATACATTGTGTACTAACATTGCAGTGTATAGTATATAGAGGAGTCTAAACAAGTCATTTATGGAATTTCAGTTTCTTTTGTCTTGGTTGGAGCTTGCTGGGTTGCCTGTTATAAAAGGAGGCAAATATCTAGGGGTATGTCTACACTACAAAGTTAATTCGAACTAACAGACGTTAGTTCGAATTAACTTTGATAGGCGCTACACAGGCAAACCGCTAGTTCGAACTTAATTCGAACTAGCGGGGCGCTTAATTCAAACTAGGTAAACCTCATTGCACGAGGACTAACGCCTAGTTCAAATTAAGTAGTTCGAATTAAGGGCTGTGTAGCCACTTAATTCGAACTAGTGGGAGGCTAGCCCTGCCCAGCTTGCCCTGGTGGCCACTCTGGGCAACACCAGGGAAACTTGTCTGCCCTGCTCCCAGCTCCAGAGCCCTTAAAGGGGCATGGTCTGGCTACGGTGCCCGTGCCAGGTGCAAACTTGTCAGCACCCAGTCAGCAGACCCTGCACCTGGCACGGCACGAACCAGCCACCTGCTGCCACCCAGCCCTCCGCCTCTTCCTGGGACCAGGCTGGCGGCTTC